CCTTGAGCAGTAAAATGACTTTAAATATTTTAATTGTTTATATAATAATCATAATTTAACAAATAATTATAGTAATAATGAATTATTAGTAATAATTAATACGTAAATGTAATTTTTTTATATTTAAAATGAGTCCAATTTGGATTTGTATAGGATGTATAGAAGTGGAGTTATCATGATTTTAATAAGTACATAATCAACGAGTTTTTAACCTTCCGTATTTTAAAAAATATTGACAAAAAAATTTGCCAAAATACATGTCGACTTATTTTATATAGGAAATGCGTAAAAAAATTTAGTAAAAATTAAAAATGTTACCCCATATTAGTTGTTCAATTTGTAAAAGAATAATTGTAAAAGAATTCTCCTATGAAATGCATTATGTGCAAGAGTTGATAACGATTGTATCAGATGTTATGTTCAAATTGCTTTCCATCACTTGACAATGCGTCTTAGCCTTAATTGAACAGAATTTCTGAATTTTTCTCAACATATCAACAGTTATTAAATTCATTTCGTCAGTTATTTTCTGCATCGATTCTTCCACATTTTCCAGGTTTTGTTTTATAAACACTTTCTTTTAAGAATCTCTATAAAAAGAAATTAAGTGGTCAGATCAAAAGATCTTTGAAGTCAATCAATTATTCCACGCCTCCTAATCCATCTGTTTGGAAAAGTTTCATCCAATAATATTCGTACTTTTAATCTGAAATGTGCTGAAGCTTCATCTTGCTGGAACTACACGCAATCAAATCGTTAGAAAAGAGATTTCGCATAGCAAGAATAATTTGCTTAATTGTTTCATACATCTCAGAATTCAAATTTCTATAAAAATTTGATAAAAAGTGAACCTATTAAATGATCTCCAATTATTCCTGCTCAGATATTGACTTTACCAGGATATTGAGATTTGTTATCTCAATATCCTGGTAAAGTCTTTCATCAAATGTGGATTTTCAGTGCTCCAATATCAGAAATTCTGATGATTAACATTTTCATGAAGTTCGAAACTAGCTTTATCAAAAAAGACAATATTATTTATGAAATCATTTCTGTGTGCCTTAATAAATTCATAAAATTCTAGTCTCCGGTCAAAATCTTTATGAACTAACTCTTGCACATAAAAAGCATTTTATAGAATTTAAATTAAAAATAGATGAAATCTATTTTTTTTTTTAATATTACACTGATGATTGGCTGACTTTGTTTTTTGTAATTTTTCTAGGAGACGTATTAAGCGTTTCGATAAAGCTTTATTGAACTATTTTTATTATCGATTTTGAAATTGATCTCGCGTATTAAAAGTTGCATTGAAAAAAATCACATGTCTCTCTTGATATAATCTTTTTTATCTCTATTCCTTTTCATTATTAACAGAATTAAATGTTCTTTTTTCGACAACATAGCCATCATAGGAAAATTTTACGAACGCTTGAAAGAAAAAGAGTCTCTAAGTTCACTAAAGATATCAGACAGTACAACTAACAGTGTGTTACCGATGTTTATTAATATATTCCTTGATACGATAACTGTGGTCTCTCGAGAAAATGATTTTCGGAAGCATTTCTAGCGAAGAATACAAGAAAAATAATAAAAAGAAAGAAAAGACTTTGCTTCGCGTAGAAAGCTGTGCGCCCCATAGCAGGAAGGGGGAGGGAGGGAAGAGGTGTGAGATGGGAATCGCTTTGCGTGAAAAGTCGTGCATCCTGTAACAGGGGAGAAGGTGGAGTGGGAATCGTTTCGCGTGGAAAGTCATGCGCTCCGTAGCAAGGGGAAAATGAGGTAAGAATCTTAATATATTTTGTCAATATCATGAATAACTTCCAGAGTATTTTAACCGGCAATCATTGTTTATTAAAATGTTATTATCAAATTGATCATAAAATTGAGTTATGATTATCAAATTAAATATTGATTAGAATTTTTTTTCCGGTGTTCCTTATTAAAAATACTTTCAAAAATAATTTTTATTTTGAGAGTTCACAGTTATCATCGCTCCTATTCTCCACAACATTTGTGTATTCCAACCAATCCTTACACTATTAGCATAATGTAGCATTTTTGCCTATGGCGATAGGCGTGGCGGTAGACCACGTGGTAAGTAACTATTGTATTTATATCAAGAGATATGATTTTTTAAATATGAAATTTTAACGTGCGAAATCCAATTTTTAAAACCATCCACGCACTGGATAATGCTAATGTTAGTGGTGTTATAACTTTTAAATCTCATAACTCGAAAAGTACTTTATGAAAAATAATTTTATTGTAGTGTTTTGAAAAGCTCTTTACACCAGCTATTAGATTCTGGATAAAAAGTAGGATGTTCCATTAAAAAAAAATCAATGTGATCTTGGTGACGCTATACTCAAGGTCAGATTAATCAGATCAGTGAATAGATCATATTGTGAATAAATCCTATAACTTTGTAGAAAACAATTCTTTTGGAAATGCTTAGTTTTCGAGATATTTCGCGGTCCGGGACTTTTTACTCACCCTGTATAATATATACTCTTAAATAAATAAACGCGCGTCATACCTCAAATTCTATTTTTTTTTTAATAAAAGAAGAATTAAAATAATAAAATTAAATTCAAAAAAATTTTCTAAATTACAAGATGTACAGACAATTAATATTTATTTCACATTGAATATAGACAATATATAAACATCTTGTTTTAATCTACATCATTCATGAAATGTTACGTTTACCCTTTGAAAAGTTTTATTTTTCGGGATCGCTTGGATAGATAGCAAAGGAGAGGGTATTGAAGAACGTAGATTTTCTCACAAGTATACGCGCAGAGGCGAATACCTGAAAGTCGGACGCACTTTTACCGCTCCGGAGTATGGATCAACATCCTGAAGAGATATTATAACACTTGTTTTCGATGAGCAGTGCGAACGTCAGTCCGAATTTTGAGTCAAGGAACTTGATTCTTATAATTTCGGGACTGGACATGTGCGATCTCTGAAAAGCAGTGGGAATGAATACGATCTTATGATTCTAAAATAAATAGAAATTGATGCAAGTAGAATATTAACAATATTACTACTAGTTTATTAGTTTATTATTTACATTTTATATATGTTTATATTAAACAAAAATTATTTAGTATTAC